AATTTTAATCCTTATATTCCCTGGAGTTGTATTAGACGTGCAAAGAACACGAGGCAAAGGGAAGGAGTTAGGATTAGAACTTGCTTTTGAGACTTTTGTTCAAAATTTCTGCGTCGTCTTCTAAGGTTCCGGCGATTCCTACTGAAATCCCTCATCTGTTCTTTCTCTACTTCCACAGACGTGAATAGGTTTTATTTTCTTTTTATTTTAAACCCTAAACAGACGTATCCTACATATTTATAGAGTTATACCAAACCCTAAATTAATTCAAGCCCCAAACAGAATTCTACTCAGCCCATAAAAACTTAATTAAAACTTACGTCGGCTACAACCATGATTTCTTAAAGAATCCTAATCTAAATCATTAAATGAAAACAAATAAGTAAATTAAAATAGTGATTCAAAGAAATAAAAATTATGTCATATAAACAACTTACCAATTTAAAATTAAGTCAAATAACTCAACTAATTCACATAAGTCAAAGAATTCAAGTAATTCAAATAAACAATTAAATAATTAAAAATTCAATTAAAACAATAAATTAAATACCAGGACTATCTTTTTAAAATTAGGGGTATTACATCTGATGACTACCAAAGGCTATTCTTCAGCAGCTTTCTTCTTCAGAGCTTCAGTTCTCTATTTTTCTTCCTCAGTCAATGGGAAGCTATCAAAGGATGGAAGTGCCAAATCCATACGGTCTGTAGCTGCGGCACTGGAAGCGATTTCTTGGAGATTGGACGAAGTAAGCAACTCCTCAACAGATGGGGGTTCGCTTCAAACTTGTCCTTCGAGAAATGAGAGCATATTCTTAGCTGCAAAAGAGGAGAAAGTTACTAAAAAATCACCAAGAAACTCATAAGTATGATGAAAAATTAAGACTTGACATGGGAAGCAGCTAGAACATTTGGTATGAAGGGAGGGTAAGCATTCTATACCTAACTTCCTAAATTTTTGAGGGATTGGGAGTGTGTTTGATTGAGGTACAAACTATTTCCCTTTAACTACAATCATCCTCTCTTTCCATTTCTTCTCGGAGGAAGGGAGGTCCGTGTATATCCTTTGCTGAAAGTTAGAGGTGAAATAAAAACGACCAGGCTCGGTCCCATGCCTAGAGATGGTGTAAGTAATTAATAGGTTGACAAGAGTCAAATCAAGATTCTTAAGCCTTCGGCGAACCAAGAGTGCCGAGACTATCCTGAAAAAATTAGTGTTTACTTGAAGGGGTTAGACCTAACTTATTGAAGACCAAATGGTAGAAGGGGTGAAGAGGAAATCGAAGGGCATTAAGATGCCCAACTGAGAGAAATAACTCATTCTCTCCGACGCCCTCACCTGAACTGAAGTCAGCCGTCCACGGGTATTCAACAATTTCTACTCCCTCAGGGATTTTAAATTCCTCCATTACCGAATCTATGGTGAACTTGATACGTCAAACAGATAAAAACGTCTCTTTCTCTTCCTTAGTAAAGATATCATTTGACCTAGAAGTGGATGTCTCAGCTTAAAGTAAGGAATCATCCAATTGATTGGCTAAGTTATTTGCAGGTTTAAGTGGATTAGAAACCCTACGGGGGGAACCCTAGTAAGAATAGAGGAAGACAAAGGCATGGATTTAGAATCTACAATTTCTATATGGTCGTGAGTGGTTGAAGTGATCATGATGCAAGATCGAAAAATAGATGAAGAACTAACCTGGTAACACGATGAAGTAAAGAGCGCAATGAACAAAATGAGCGCAGTATAGACAAAAACAGATCTTGAGGAAGCTCTTGAGTCAGAATAACAATAGACTCGTTGAACCGCCTCGTGCAAAAGTGGCAACCGTGCAACTTCAATTCCCTTTTAATTAGGAGCCGTAGTTCAATTAAAGAGGGAATTGGGGTAAAGTATGGAGGGAAAAATCCCCCTCCAATGAAGGTCATCCACGTGGCTATAATTGAAGCTTTGTTTTTATTTTCCTGATGGGTTGCAAGAATCCAGCCCTGTTCAAGCCCGGGAAAAGACGTCAACAGCCCAGGGTCGCTAATACTGAACTTCCGGCCCATTGGCTGAGTCATCTGGACCAAGCTACATTCAGCCTAACTTCATTTAAAGGCAGACCAGTACTGCTAGACAAAGGATTCAACAAAGAAGGCAAGTTTTGTGCAAGAAAAGTTTGGCATGGAAATAATTGTAAAAAAGAAAGAATTCTAATTGTAAAGAATGTTGTATATGAAATAAATTGGATGATAAGTTAGGCAAGTCCTACCATAATTCCAACACCTTATTTCATTTAAATAGAGGCCTAGACCTCCAATAAAATAATCGAACGATATACGCTTTTCTCTAAGTATTATAATTGCTTGTTTTGAGTGAGTTGTATTTTTCTTTTTATTTATTTTAATTGAGAGAAATTTTGCACTTACAATTGTGCTGAAGTTTTATTAAATTATTAGGTTGAAAAATATTATAGTTGTGTTGATTTTGTTGAAGGTGAATTGAAATTTTAAAAAAGTTCTGCGGGGCGGGGTGGGGCAGGGACGGGGGCTAATATGGCGGGACGGGGTGGGGACGAGGGAGGGGGTTGAAATTTAAACGGGTATGGGGGCGAGGATGGGGGAAAAAATTTGACTGGGAATGGAGATGGGAAATAAGATCCTCGCCCCACCTTGCCCCATTGCCATCCCTAAATACTACAAGGGGTGACAAAGTACAACACGACACGACTACACTATACGAGTTAAAATGGTTTGTGTTTAACATAAACGGGTTTGGGTCATAAAAAGGTTAACACAATTAATCCGTTTACTTAACCGTGTCGGGTCAGGGTTGAGGGGTTTAACTTATGTAAACCCTTTATGACCCATATAACTCAACAAGTTATAATCGTGAATATGACCTATATAATATGTTACCTGTTTAAATCCAATTACTATGAAAAATTAGGTCATTTCAATATAAACTTTGTCTATCCCTTGTGATTTTTTATTTTATTTTGAATATTTAGGTTAATTATGACAAATTTTTTTCTTCTATTATTTAGTATTTGATTAAATATTAAATGTCTTATTTTAATAAATAGGTCATTAAACGGGTTAACACATTTATTAATTTAATAAACAAGTTAGATTAGTGTTAAAAATTCTTGACACGATTATTAAATGAGTATGTTTGAATTTACCTATTTATATCGACACGACACAACACAATTATGTCCTATGGATTCGAATTATCACTCCCAAATATTACTTATCCACTTAACAACAAATAAATGACCTTTACTGACCGCTGATAGAATATCTAATGGACTATACAATATCTAAATGGGCTATTAATATGAATTGGTTCAAGTGTCACACGCTCCGCAATAAAAATCTGAGAATATTTTTTAAATCTTTTAAACATTAAGTACAGTAGATCACTTGTTTGTATTTACAACCTCTTTGAGTACTTACTGAACTACAGCATTGAATTTGTGTGTGCCACATGGCATGTGATTTAAGGACAAACGCCCGCAGCCAAGTGTCTGTGTTATTTGTTGTTGCATGTAATTTTTTGTTTTACCTTTTTATCATTAAATACGTCTCTTTAGTAGATAGGTTACTGCTGTAATCTTTTTATACTAATAATAATAAAAAAAATCTTTTATTTGGTTTGGTTGTAATAAAAATAATTCTTAAAAATATTAAAAATAGAAAATAATCTTTAAACGATTAAAATCATTTTTAAAATTGGATCTTCCTTAACTCTGCTTCCAACAGACGAATTTCAAAATTTTAAATAAAGTAAACTTTCCTAACTTTCTTTGTTTCGCGCTTATTAGATAAGAAATATTTTCGTTTTGAGAACAAAATGAATTAGAAAACATCAATTTTTAAGTTGTCATTTGCTTGAGTGGATTACAGCTTTCTTTTTTAATGGCATTAGGTAAGAATGCAGTAAATTTTAATTTTAATGTTATTTAATTTATTTATTTTGTATATCATTGTAAGAAACTCACTCATATGAACTTATAAAAATTAAAAAGTTTAATTTTATTTTTTGATCCAGGGATTTGTCTCACATGTATGTAACAAATGCTAATTATTAATTTTTTTATTTTATTTTATTTTTATTTTATGATTTTGAGTTATGAATAATTGTCAAAAATAAGAAAAAATAAATTTTTAGTGTTTTAATTTTGAGCCACTGTTCACGAAGTGTTTTAATACATAAAATAAAATAAGACTGCACCAAACATGTTTTTATTATTAAAATCAACACTATAACAATCTAAAAATAAAAACAACATAAACAAAACTCATGCTGGAAATCAAGTATCCTTCAATATACAGTATGTTTTACCAGAAATTTCTCATACTTTCTCAGCTTGAGTGGATTACAGCTTATTAGATAAGAAATATTTTCGTTTTGAGAACAAAATGAATTAGAAAACATCAATTTTTAAGTTGTCATTTGCTAGAGTGGATTACAGCTTTCTTTTTTAATGGCATTAGGTAAGAATGCAGTAAATTTTAATTTAATTTAATTTAATTTATTTATTTTGTATATCATTGTAAGAAACTCACTCATATGAACTTATAAAAATTAAAAAGTTTAATTTTATTTTTTGATCCAGGGATTTGTCTCACATGTATGTAACAAATGCTAATTATTAATTTTTTTTTTTTTTTTAATGATTTTAGGCCATGAATAGTTGTCGAAAATAAGAAAAAATAATTTTTTTGTGTTTTGATTTTAAGCCACTATTTATGAAATACTTTAGCACATAAAATAAAATAAAACTACACTAAACATATTTTTATTACTAAAATCAACACTGTAACAATCTAAAAATAAAAACAACATGAACAAGACTCATACCGAATGAAAACCAAGTATCCTTCAATATACAGTATGTTTTACCAGAAATTTCTTATACTTTCTCAGTAACCAAACAACAGAAATAAAAGCTGCTTTTCTCTCTTGCCAAACATTGGAAATCTCTGTCCATTTCTTTTGAACTGTTTCATAGTGACCCGGAAACCTTATTTAATAAAAGCGGCCTGTCTTCCACATTCTCCACTCCCCCCACCTCTCTCTCTCTCTCTCCCTCCCCGTTTCTCTCTCTTCTTTTACCTTTTTCTTTTGTTTTTCTTTGGGTCCCCCTCTCTGTCTACAAACACAGCAAAACTCACTTGTATCATTATTAAATCTTCTCCAAGCAGCAACGAACCACCGTAATTATCCTTCAAAATCCATCCCCTTCTCTCTCTCTCTACCCTTTAGCTGTCTTTTGGTGTATTTTCTTCTCTCTCTAGATGACTAACACTCTCAGCGACGGAGGCTTTTGGCTTCCCTCTGAGTTCCTCACCGACGACGACATACTCATGGACAAAGAAAACTTCAACAAGAATGGCCTCCTCCTCAACCCTGCTTTTGGGTTCAACTTTCGCTTCCCCACTGAGTTTCCTCCCGATTTTGGCTCGTTCAACTCGACCCCTGTCATCAACTCGCCGGTTGAGTCTGTGGTTAGCTCGACGGAGACAGAGAGTGACGAGGACTTCCTCGCCGCTCTGACTCGCCAGTTGACTCGGGCCACTCTGCAAGAAACTCAGAAAACCACTTCTCGTCCCCAAAATATCGAGGTATGATGATATAATCTTTGATTTTGCTTGTTTTTGTCATGAATTTCATGAGAATGAGTTCTGATTCGGTGTTTGTGTTAACTCAGAAGACATGGGTCTTGTCCGGATCGCCTCAATCGACTCTCAGTGGAATCGGAAGCTGGTCTAGCAATGGAAGCCCAAACGGTCCTTCTCAGGTCTCGTCGCCGCCAACGACGCCGTTGAGTCCAAACGACGACGCTTGGAGTCTAATTAACGCAGCGGCTGGACAGGTGGCTAGGTTGAAGATCACCGGCGGCGAAGGACCGCCCAGAAGCAGAGGACTCCTCGGAGCCCCTCGCAGTCACAATCCGGTCTATCCTTCGCCGCCGGTGAAGTACCCCACAACTGGGTTCTTCACTAATCAGTCTCTCTCGCATAATCTCTCACAATCACATACCCCTCATGTAAATCCTTTTTTCTTTTTTAATTTTAATTTTGATTTTTTGTATGCATGTTCTGTTTTCTGAGTCATTTGGGTTTTTTCATAATGGTATATGCAGTTTCAAGTTAGACAAGAGCAAGGGCTAAAGCAACAAGTGTGTTCAATTTGGGGAGGTCCGGCTAAAGAGGGGTTCTGCTGTGAGCAAAACCAGTTTCAGAAGCAGCAAATGTGTCAGAATAGAGCAGTGAGAGGGGGCGGTGTCGGCGGATGTGGTGATGGTGGGGGTGGGAGGCCACTGGGGTTGCCTCAATCTGCATGGCCTCCTCTGCAAGTTCAACACCAAAACCAACACTATCAAAATCAGCAGCATAGTCATGGTGGTTCAGGGATGAGAGCTGTGTTTCTTGGTGGTGGTGGGTCTGGTGGTGTGAAGAGGGAGTGTGCTGGAACAGGGGTCTTTTTACCTCGCAGATATGGCAATCCCTCAGATTCTCGCAAGAAGCCAGGTATTGCTGTCGTTTCTCAGATTTGTTATTTTGTATCTGCTGCCTTTGTCCCTTTTTCATTTACTGCTTCTGAGAAAATTGGGAAAAAAGAAAAAGAAAAAGAAAAAGAAAATTGGTTTTTTATTTTTTTCAATTTGGTGGGGGGACTTCTATAGTGGGTATTGAGTTATGGGTCCCCTAAAATGAAAACCCTTGTTTCGAAATGTTTTCTCTCTTTTTTATTTTTATTTTCTTTTTGGCCTACCACTTTCTCGTCAAACAAACAGAGATTTGTACTAGTTCTTGGTAATATTTTCCATCAGGGTGTAAAATTCTTTATGGTGATTTGATATGAACAGGGGCTTTCTTGTGACCCTAATGGTTGTGTGTTCCTTTTTGGATTTTCCCTGAATCCCCAATTTTGACTGCAAATGTGCTGAGTACTGAGATTTGGAGCATATTTGTTCTTGGTTTTGAGTCATGGATTATTTACAGCGTATATCTATACATGAGTCTATTTCGTAATGTGTATATGCCCAAGTTAATTATGATAATGATGGAGTGTGGTCTTCTAACATGCTCTATTGTATCAGCAGGTTGTTCTACTGCTCTACTTCCAGCCAGGGTTGTTCACGCCCTGAATAAGAACTTGGAGGACATGGCTTCTCGTTCGCAGCAGCATCAGTTTCTTCCCCGCTACAATGCTTCTCTCACCTCTGATTACGGTATAAAATTACAAAAGGATAATGATTCTCAAGCCGAAAACTCAAACTGAGAAACCCCTTCTCTCCGTTAGAGTTTTCATTCTAAATAACATTGTCCAATTACTAATGTACTAGTTCAATCAATGATCCACTGTGTGTTTATGTGTGAGTATATTTGCATGTGTTGTCTACGTTTTTTTTTTTTTTTGTGTTCTTATATTTGAGGGCTTGATTTGCAGATGGTCTGATGGCCAGGAGGAATGCATTATTGGCACAGCAGAAGCGAAGTTTGCGGTCGGAAGGAGCTATAAATCATGAAATACGCCTCCCTCAAGAGTGGACTTACTGATTCAAGTGTGTTTGATCTTGTGACTTGTGTATGTGAAAGACTTGTTTGGTTGGAGAAAAAGAAAAAAATTAAAAAGAAGATGGTAGTAAGAAGGTAGAGAAGGTTTGTGATAGAGTAGAAGAAAATGGTGTTTTGGTTTTTTAGTCAAAAGATGTAAGAAGTTACAGGAGGAGGTAGTAGTTAGAGAAGAAAAATAAGAGAGAGAGAACCAAATGGAATTTTTTTTTGGTGTTTGGCTGGGGATTTGGATTTGCAGCTTTTTACGGGCTACCATTTGATGTGATGTTGAAAGGGTGAAGGACAAAAAGGAATAGTTTAGGGGAGGGATGGGGAAGGTGCTATATTTTGTTGTAATAAATAAATAAATGGGTATCTTCTAGGATGTTGTTTTGAGAAGAGTGGAGGGAGGAGTGATGGGGCTTGTTTGGCTAGGGGGATTACTGTATCTTTTTGTGTAATTTGCTGGTGAAAGTGAAATCCACAACCCTCTCTCTCTTCATGTAATTTCCCTTGGCAATGGCAAATATATATATATATATATATATATATAAAGTGAAATCCACAACCCTCTCTCTCTTCATGTAATTTCCCTTGGCAATGGCAAATATATATATATATATATATATATATATATATAATTTATGATAGGGCCTGCTAAATCTGAAGCAATTTGTAATATCATTGGCCATTAATCTAGTTGGTTTCTTTTAATAATATAGGGCAATTTTATATGTGAACTTATGATTGATGGGTCTCTTTTATGATTAATGTTCAATGCTGCTGGTTCAAGTTTCATGGCATCCAAAATGCTGCAGTAAAATCTTACTGTAATTTTGTACCCTTTCTACGGGTTTTCAGTGCTATTTAATATCACGCATTTACCCTTGTGAATTATACATAATCCTATATAAAATGTGGGTAGTGAAAAACTTGGAAGACCTTAACGTTAGAATTCAGTTATTGTAACTGGTGTAGGTAGATTCGCAATAAACATCTGTAAGGTAGAGGATGGAATAATTTTTTTTTTTTGTTGTGGATATTTAACATTATTACTCTAAAATAGTCTAATATACCGAAAAGAAAGAATAGTCCCAATTAAATAAGTGGGAGCCACCTGTTTTAAAATGGAGGTGATGTAGTTTATAGAGGGAACGTGGGTGAGTTTGAATGGCTATTTTAGCGGCTTTGGTTTTGGCACAGTGATGTGGTAGGGGGATTTGAATTCCTTCGGAGCGAAGGAGATGAGAATGGGACGGAATGGGATGGGGACGTTGGTGTGCCGTACGGTGTCGGAATAGTGGGGCCCGATTTACGACGTCATGGGCTTGCTTTTTAGGAACAGTTCATCGTTTTTAATTCCATTTCCCTATTTCTTTGTTTTTTTTAAAGGTAAAGTGGAAGACATCTTTGGTAGTTGTGATCTGGTTGTTTGTGGAAAGTGATGGACTCTCTTGACTTGGTCATTTTTTAACCAACCCTTTTTTTTTTTTGGTTTACATTTTCTCTGTTCGTTTCCTAGAGTTTGAATTTAGAATGGATATGCTTATTCAAAAAAGAAAAAAAAATCATGTCTCGGGCTGTAATTGTATCGTGTTGATAATAAATAATTTGTTAAATAACTCGAATATAATCTTTTGGAAGATAGAGAAGAGTTGATACCGGTTTGACCATATATTATTCCATCATATTAGAAGTTTTGTCATACCAATTTTGCTTATGTTTTAGAAAGGGTTTGTAATTAGTATACTATTTTCGCTCCTACTTTCACAGACAATGTACCAATTTTGTACCGTGTACTTTGTTTAATTACAGGGCGAGTTATGCTACTTTTATTATTTAGCAAAACAAAACTAGTACAATGTACTCAAATTTGGTTGATAAATAAAATGGCTCAACTTTTAAATTACTGAATAGTTAAAAGTATTAATATATTAACAGATACTTCTAGCATAATAGCAAGGTCCTTAAAAATATTAAATATATTATATATATATATATATATATATATATATATATATATATTTTTAATGATACATATATGGGGCAAGTTCATCATTAAATTCATCCCTGGATTCTGACAAAATTACAATTAAGATCGATTCAAACCAGTTGTCTTTGCCACTCTTCAAACCAATAGGACTAATCATCAAAGTTAGGGCAAAGTACAGAAAACCCTCTTCAATTTGTAACTTTTTCTAGTAAACCCACCTTATTTATTTTTTTTTTACCAAAAACTCCCCTCGACTTGTAACCTTTTACCAATAAATCTCCCTTTTTTAATTTTTTTACCAAATAACGCCCTTTTATTTAAAATTTTATTTTCCCGAATTTCAAAAATTCATTTCTCTCAAACCGTACATTTAAAAATTGTAAATAATATATGCACGAAAAGTTTATGAAATAAATATTCCAAAAATATAAGATTTATATAACAAACTTTTCATAACTAGAGAGAAATAGGCAATCTAAAAATCTACTCCAATAATCTTATTTTATTTTTAAAAAATAAAATACTCAAAATATTTCCAAGAAAATTTTTAGAATTATTCATTTACATATGGAGCCGAATATATAAAAAATTTAGCTCTAACAAAGATCGATTTTATTAGATATCATATTTTGCGTCAAAATATTTTCATTCTTTTATAGACTCACCATTTAAAAAATAACTAAAAATGAATATTCGGTCTCTATTGGGGCTAATTTTTTTATATGTTATGCTCCATATGAAAATGAATAATTTTAAAAAAATTTCTTGCAAATAATCAGAGTATTTTATAAAAAATAAAATAAAATAAGATTGTTGCAGAAGATATTTAGGTTATCTATTTCTCTCTGGTTATGAAGTTTTGTTAAACAAATCTTATATTTCTGGAATCCGTGTTTTATAAGCTTTCTGTGCATATATTATTTGCAATATTCGGATATACGATTTGTGAGATATGAATTTTTGAAGTTCGAAAAAATTAAGATTTAAATAAAATGGTATTTTAGTTCAAATATAAATTATTTTACTCCCTTAGATCGTTGAAGACAGTGACGGACCCAGAAAATTTGGTGAGGGGGGGCGAATTTTTAATTTGTGGGTACAAAATTATATGATGGGTTTATTTTTGTAATTTTAGTAGGGTTTTTTTCATAAATTTTAAAAAAATTTAAGTATAAAATGAAAAAAAAAAAATCAGTGGGGCAAATTATAATTATAGTGGGGCATCTTCATAAATTATCAAAATTTGAAGTATAAAATGCTAAAAAAAAAAGAATCCAGTGGGGGCGAATTGTAATTTTAGGGGGGGTATTTTCATAAATTTTAAAAATATTAGGGTATAAAATGAAAATATTAAAAATTCAGGGGGGCATCTGCCCCCCTAGTCCCTTGCTGGGTCCGTCCCTAGTTGAAGAAGTTCTTTGGTAAAAAATTAGATAAGAGAGATTTATTAGAAAGGGTTACAAGTCGAAGAATTCTTTGATAAAAAATTAAATTAGAAAAATTTATTAAAAACAAGTTACAAGTCGAGGAAAATTTTTTGTATTTTACCCTCAAAGTTATTACAAGACGTAAATGAGGTCGTTGCGTATATATTTTGAACTGCTGCATCAAATCTCCATTTTAGATCCTCATACAGCCGTCAATTACGTTCTTTGGATTCCAAACATTACGGCCTTCAGGTCAAGTGGGTTGAGTCGGTTTTACTGGTTGTATCCCAATAGTAATATAATAATGTTATTATTAATCATATATCATCATTAATGGTTCTACCCCAATAATGTAAACTTTGAATATTTACAACCCATTCATGATTTTTATATATATATATTTTTGAAATTACACTTAAATTTTAGTAACGGCATATATGATTAGGTTCACATGTCAAACAAAAAGGTTGTAACTTTGATCTTAGCTGTTTTCTTTTTAGGTCAACCATTTAGATAGCTTGAACGTAAGTACTGATTAATTAACGGAACTGTTTATTCTAATCCATGATTGTTAATTAAATCTGTTTTGTTCATAATTAGCTAACAAACTCTTATTATAAAAATCAATTAAGAAATCCATACTCATATTGTTGCACTCTTTTTAGTTGGTTGAGGACAGCGTGCACAACCAATAATCATTTATGCAACTTCATAGTGGTTTATAATTGCTTTGATGGGTCAAATTATTGGGTCAGCCACATAAACAATGAAGCTATTATAGATCTCTAATAGAATGCCAGCCAACTTCAAATTTCAAAAATCATGTAGTGTTTAAAAATAGTTGAAATTTATATTTTAATTTGTTTAAAAACGATATATATTTAAGTACCTTTGATTGAAATAAGAAAATTTATAATGAAAATATTCTCACATGAACTCGACGAGATGAGTTCTATTTTGAAATCTCAAATGTCGGAGAATGGGCTTTTCTCTTGTCCACAATCGCACAAAGAACATGGGCCTAAAAGGCAAGGATATTTGGTTATTGAGAAAACAAGAGCCTGTAGGCCCATGAAACCCAATAAATTTTACAGACCATTAACACACAGCTATTAATTATTCATTATGGCCTTGCAAGAGGACTCGGATATGGGCACACTCATTCGAGAATTTCAAACTCTTATCACAAGCCTGGGCTTTTAACAAAGAGGACTCATATTAGGCCTGACATTGGTTCTCAGTTTTGAGATCAAAATGCTGACATTTCAACGCAGCCCAGCACTATTCAAAACAATGCTAGTTGGAAAGTTCAGGCATCACATTTGTTCTGTATTGAGTTGTCTTGAAACCACTAGCACCCCTACATTTTCTCAAGTATTTTTGGATAAGGTCATCCCTACTAAACACTCGTTCACTTACAGATGTAACAGTCATAAAAAGGGCAATAATTTTTTTTAAAAAAATTCAATCACCCTACCTAATTTTCTAATTTATTACTTTTCTAATATTATAATTACGCAATATTATAATTAGGCCAATCACTTTTCTGATATTGTAATTACGCGAATCATATAGCAGTTGATAGGAATAACTTATTCACCCGTGCGTAAACAAGTCTTATCCTTTAAAAATTTTAACTAAATTTTTGAAAATTTCTCTATTTTTAAATTCAAGATGTCAATTGGCAAGTTACATGTCAAAAGAGAGGGTCTCCATTTTTGTTGTGAGCAATACAATTATACAACATTAAGAAATTAATGTCTAATTTTTTGGTCACCAAATGTGAGTTCCACGCAATTATGTCCAGGATTTGAAGTCATATTACCCCCGCAACACAATCTTTGAAGTCATATATATATATATATATATATATATATATATATATATATATATAGGGAAAATTACATATAAATAGAGTCAAAGTTCCATATTTACTCAGAAACTAAGTCAAAGTTCTATATTTCTCTAAAATGAATTGCTGAGATGACACATGATTTCTTACTGTTTAAAAAATTGTGGTGTCTAAAATACCCTTCCCTAACAAAAAAGTAATACCTTCAGTTCAAAAAAGTAGTACCCTCAGTTCAAAAAAGTAATACCTTCAGAAAAAAAGTAATACCTTCCCGGGTGTTTAAAAAACATGGTACCTAAACGCCAAAAAGTAGTACCTTCAGTTCAAAAAGTAATACATTCGAAAAAAAGATAATACCTCAACGAAAGGGTATTTTAGACACCACAATTTTTAAACAGTAAAAAACCATGTGCCACCTCAGCAATCCATTTTAAAAAAATATAAAACTTTGACTCAGCCTCTAAGTAAATATGAAACTTTAACTTCATTTATATGTAATTTTCTCATATATAATATATATAATTATTTGTTTCAATCAAGCTACAACATCACATATGAATATATGAAAATAAATGAATATATTTCTTGAGACTACAAGAAATATATCTTTCCAACTTTTTATTTATGCCGGGCATGACATAACGCCTTACATTAGGTACATATTAAAAGTTTTAACCAGAAATCTCTACAGCCTTGATATCAGGCTTCTTGACTTCCTCCTTAGGCACAGTAACAGTCAACACACCATTTTCCATAGATGCCTTCACCTGATCCACCTTGGCATTCTCCGGCAGCCAGAAACGGCGGAGGAACTTGCCTGTGCTGCGCTCAACCCGATGCCACTTGTCATCCTTCTCCTCCTTCTCGTTGCTCCTCTCTCCACTGATCTGGAGTACCTTGCCTTCTTCCACCTCCACTTTCACCTCCTCCCTCTTCAGCCCAGGAAGGTCCGCTTTGAACACGTGCGCCTCCGGAGTCTCCTTCCAGTCGATCCGAGTGTGGGCAAACGCAGTGGTTTCGTTCGCTGGGACAGAGAGAGAGGTGTTGCCGAAGAAAGGGAAGTCCTGAAAAGGATCCCATAGGTGGAGAGAGAATGGATCAAAGGTGTTGCTGCGTCGGTTACCGAAGAAGCTGTTGGGAATGATCGACATATTGGAGATTTCAGAAAATGGTAGAGAGAGAGAGAGAGTGCGTGAGCTCTTGATGTTTGCTGTGTGTATAATTATGGGAATGGAGAGAGAAGTATTTATAAGACGGAAAAATGAGACACACTATTGGTTCGAATTGTTTGGTGCTTTCGAGAGGCTTCCGGAGGATAAAGAATTGTCCAGAAAAAGTTAATAGTGAGTGGGGACATTTTCGTCCGACGCGTCTAGAAGATGAGGTTCTAATAGTGTGCATGTAGGAGCACATAAAGTCTTTGATCTTCTGTGACAAAGTAACAATCTCAAATGGTTAATCCAAACAAATTTAAGTTGAACATACACAACAATTACATAAAATTATATGCTGTTAAATTCTTAATTTAATTTAATAGGACAGCCAACACAAAATAATAAAGCAAGTTGCATAAATATATTGCTTTCTCTTCTATAATAATGTTATAATAATGTGTTGTGCTGTAATGTGTTGTGCTGTTGATTTAATAATACATCGAACGAAACTCCAAAGGGTTAGTTTAGTGATAAAATTACCTACGCTTGGATGCTTATTAACACTAAGGTATGGGGTTAGAATCTCATTAGGAGCTTACGACAACTTGGGGCCAGGCCTCCGCTGTCATAATCAGCAACTTACCCAACCCGGGGTAGATTAGGCCACCCTTCCTAAATCTTCAAAAATTAGTCGGCTGAAGTACTGAATTCCTGAGTCACCCCAAAAAAAAAAAAAAAACACATCTAATGGAATAAGGATATCAGAGGATTGGGGTCGACACTCGACAGTACAAGTGATAATTTATTTATTTATTTTTATTTTGGAAAGTAAAGTAAGTTTATTCAAGAATTGAGAATGAAGAACATACAAGGAAGACCCAATAGGAAGATTAAGCCCAGACAATAGAAAATAGAAAAATAAAAACCATGGCCCAACCCAAACAAGAATCAAGCCCAATGACTATCTCTTAAATAACCTCTAAGGAATGTTGCTCTGGTTGAGCTACAATAATGAGAAATGGGATCAATTTTGTAATATAAATGCAAGTCTTTTACAAAAAACTTGTACTGTGAAGAAAAAAAAAATAGAGCAACATTCCTAAAAAAAAACTTGTACTGTCGACCCCAATCCTCTAAACCATTTGCGAATTCGAATATGACATGCAAGTTCATATCTAGTGCAACACACTATATTGATATACACCTCACTAAACAAATCATGGTAATTGAAAGCTCAACATTAATTCATTGTTTTGAGTCTTTTGACAAGGAAATACGACATTTAGTCTTATTAATGTTCGAGAAAAAGAACTTCAATTTGAAGACAAACTGAGCCTATTTTTCTCCTCCCACAACCATCAATCTAATGTCATCAATCAAACGGTCCAGATTACAGTAAGAGGACCCAACTTCACTCACAGATTCTCTCGCCTTTTTCCCCATCTGATCCGCCGTTAGCAAGAACTCATCCCTCCTCTCCTCCATCAGATCTCTGACCATCTTCTCAACCACAACTCTATCACACGTCTCCTTCATGTCCAAACCAAGCTTCCAAACCTCACTCACAAACCTACTGTTCACCTGCTGGTCACCAAAATATGGCCAACAAATCATGGGCACTCCAGCCACTATACTCTCCAAAGTTGAGTTCCATCCACTGTGGGTCAAGAACCCACCCACAGCTTGGTGGGCCAACACTTCCTCCTGTGGAGCCCAGCCCACTATATACCCCCTCTCCTTGGTCCACTCCCTGACCTCCGCCGGAATCTGACCCTCCCAACCCTCAACAGAGTCCGGCCGTATGACCCACAAGAACCGTTTCCCGCTATTCACCAAACCGTGACAAAACTCCATGACCTGGTCCTTTGTCATCGGTGTAATGCTTCCAAAGCTCACGTAGATCACAGATTTTAACGGCTGAGAATCGAGCCACGTCAGGCAACTCCAATCTTGTTCCCATAAACACGTTGTATTGTTTGAAGATGATGATGACTTTGTTTCTTGTGTGAGTCTAGCCTTCATGTGCAAGTGAAGTGGTCCGATGGTATAGAGTTTTGGACAACGGGCGCGTATGTGAGCTAGTATGGGTCCTTCTAGGTCCTCAAACGTGTTGAGTATCAGAGCTTGGACTCGAGAGGTATTCTGGGTTTCATCAATCACCATTCGGAGACCCGGGTCAGCCAAATCATCCACCCGGCAAAAACTCGGGAGATCACAACGTCGGAGAAAATCTTCCATTCCCGGTACATTCTCAATAGCTTCCTCCTTCTCGTTACCTATTTGTTCATATATGTCTGAATTAAGAAGCAATAGAACATATAGAGAGAGGATTTTCCAATTTTATGACTCATCGTGTCCCAAATACAATCATTTTATCAATAATGCAACAGAACCTAAAGATTATGCAATACATATATTTATATTTTAAAATTTAATATTTAACATATTTACATAAATTTTGTATTATCGTTGCCTATATAAAGATTTTGTACTAGGCACGAATGAGTAAAAAAAGATGGATATCATAAAGATTTTGTACTAGGCACAAGACATACGAATGAGTAAAAAAGATAGATGAATAATAAGAGAGAGAGGAGAGATACCTTTGAAGGGAAGCTCTCCAGCTTCAATGAGTTGTGGGATGCAGAAATAAGCCCAGAAAGCACAGGCACCTATTGTACGGAAATAAATAATTGGAACGCCAACCTCTTCGGCAGCATCCATTGCAAAACCCAGTATTCCGTCGGCTATGACGCAAGTCACCGGCCGGCGTTCACCAACATGAGTGGAAAGCATAATTTCCTTGAGTAGTGGTTTTGCAGTGTGTTTTAGAGAATCTAACAACTCCAAGAGTCGGTCGCTGGAACGTGGGTTTTCTGACGGAAGGCGGTTGGGGATGGTTTCGAATCGGAATCCAGGATATCTACTGAAAGAGGACTGAACGTTGGCGTAACGTCGGAGGCGATCGTGGTTATGGTGGGTGAGGAGGAAAGTGACGTGGAGGCCGGCGAGACAGAGGAGCTCGGCGAGCTTGAGCATGCTGTTGACATGACCCTGTGCCGGAAAGGGGAAGATGAGTACATGAGGAGGCAGTAGCTCTGGTTCTTGATGATCCATTAAAGTTATTGTTTTTTTGGATAAAAAAAAACTGAAATTTCTAGTGGTATATGGTATTATGGTGATCTCCGTCAGTATTGTCTATCGATAATCAATCAGTTGTGCTATAGCTCGGAATAAAGGCAGGGGACATGCTTACTTAATAAGGTAAGGAGGACAAGAGCAATTTGTATTCCTTTCCTTGATCCCTCTACTTTTTTGGTAGTATGTGTGATTACCTTGCTGTATTAATAATATGGTATATGTTATATGTTATATATATATGTATAACTATGGCGTACACAATGGATTATGTCATCCACGAGGACACCCTGGCGTGGGGAGCAAGATTACATTTGTGGCTTATTTTGGAAGCTTCAATTTTGGCTTATAAATAGTCATGTGTCTCTTGCTCTGTAACTTACTTGAATAAGCATAAAAATGAAACTTCTGTTCCTTTCTTATCTCCCTTAATATTATTATATACTCTCTCTTTCTTATATTAGTAATACATTTTTCTCTTTTTACACATCTCAAATTATTTGTTCTCCCTAAAAAGTCAAAACATCTTTTTATTAGATTTTCATCATTGTCCTTTATCTTTTAAAAAAATTTTAAATTTTGTAACTATATATATTTAAATTAAAAAGGACAATTTGATAATTTTAAAAGGAGACAATGCATTAATGAACTCTACTATTTTTCCCTCTTTCTATCTCAACTTTATATATCTGTTTTGTAATATTAGTTTTGATACATTGTAGGGTTTGTTTGCTTTAATAAAAAAAATTGTATTTTTGACTTGAAAGGGTAAGAAAATCTTAATTATAGATTATTATTAATGAAATTAATTTGTCAACTTAAGTGATATATGTATTCACATTATGGTCGGTTCTATCGCCTTTATTATTTTATGATCTACTATATATAGTTGGTTCTACCGCCTTTATTATTTATTGATCTACTAATTATGGTTGGTTTTACTGCCTTTATTACTTAATGATATACCTGGTTTTACGGCCTTTATTGTTTAATAATTTATTAACTATAGCTAGTTTTACCACCTTAGTTGTTTAATTATACTGGAATTATAATAGTTCATATTATGTTATTATTTCATTTAATGTCATTATATTATTAAGATATATGTTTATTGGTAGCAACTGCGGTTGCAAGATTTTAAAACTGTGACTGAATGTGTGGTGATACCATCATTGATGAACTTTTGTTGAAAAAAAAAAATTCATCACATTCCACGTCTCAATTGTACTCTTTAGAGCTGATATCATGTTTATTTGTGGCAGAGCAAAAAAACGAACTTTTGTTAATAAACCACCCGTCCCGTCCAACTGGATCGACACCGATCCCTGAAACATATATTGCCTCATCCCGTGAACGTGGACGTGTTAATAAACATGATCGTGGTGGTAAAAATGGCTATAATAATAAATAAGGCCGTGGTAAAAATAACTATCACAATAATGAATATGGTCGTGATAGAAATCACTCGTATTACTGTGAAGGATATCAATCCTCAAACTTTCGCAATCAGAGATCTATACCATATTCCCAAATGAGAGATTATAATGAAATTAAACAAGTAAAAGGGAAGGATGTGACTCAACCTCCCATGGCACATGATAATACTTATTATCGGTGTGGAATGACAGGGCATTGACAAAGCATTTATTGTACACTAACTTTACCAAGCCTCAATGAAAAAAAAGGGAAAACAAAAAGAAATGAATTTCATTTATCGGGATGAGCCGGTTGATATCAGAAATCTGAATATATCATATTTTTTTTAAGAACAGTAATAAAAAGATATATCACCTGATTAGCAATGAAAATATTCAAACCAATTAATTTTATTTTTATTTCATGTTCTCTATTTTATGTTATCTTCAACAAATTTTTATTTTTCTTGTAAATTTCAAGATGTATGAAGTCAGATTGTGGATATATGAAAGATATGGTTCGGATTGATTGTGAAGGAACAGTAAGGGATTGGCTTTGGCTTGGTGGTGAAGAAATTGCCAGACAATTGCATATGCAATTTCTGGGTTCAACCTTTTGGTGACTTTTTGACTTTTTAAATGTGTGCTCATCCGCGTAAAAATAAAATAAATTTAAAATTTAAATGCTCATGGGGTCATGGGTTTATTTATTTATAGAGTATTATTATTAGAATAATTATACAATTATTTTGCGATATAATTATACAATTGTTTCAGACTACACAATTGTCGTGACTGCTTTAAAACGAGTTTTACAGTGTTTTTTTTTTTTTTTTCATTTCAACTCATCAGATAAATATTGGCAAAGTGCGGAATATTACATGTCCATTGGGCCTAGACTTGATCTAGGACATGTTCAGACTAATAAATTTGTTTTACATAATACTTTTTTTTTTTTTTTTTTTTTTCCTTTATATTCATAATAAATATGTTATATAGTCGCTAAAATTTTATTTAAATTTATAGTGTAAGAATAATATCAGTATAGTCGGTGACATGCTACATGTAGATCTATTTGAGTGGATGTATAGTTAGGGTTGCAAATAATGAATTTCTTATTTATTTTTATTTTGGAGTAAGGGATATGAGAGGACTGGGGTGGACAGTACAAGTCCAGAAGTGATTATATTTTATTTATTTTTAGGATAAAGTACAGTAACATCTCTTGAGATTTGTCAAAATAATAATCAGAGAAAAGTTTGCCTATAGAAGTTTGATATATTTACCAAAGACACTCCAATGATAATACATTGACATTTTTACCCTTTAACTTTTATATTGACTAATTTAAATGCTGAAATAACCTTTTTAACCTCATACCCATAACATTTTCTTTCCTTCTTTCTTCTCTATTTTCTCTTCCTTAGCCCCCAACACCAACACACATTGTCACACATGTACACACATACTATCACACAAATGATGCATTCATACTTATTTAATAAGTAATACATCAATTACTTGATTTTTTTTCGGTTAATAAATCTAATTACTTTGATGTGTTCCTTGAGCATAACCAAGTTTTAACTTTTGGTCATATTATGGTTATTAAATTATCCAAATAACTTGGTGGGTTGATTTGATGATGCAAGTTGTTTTGAAATTTTCATTGTTTTTATAGATGTAATTTTTCTGACTTTGGTTTTAAATTTTTCAATAATTACGGCCAATCTCTCTTATCTGCAGTGTTTGTCAAATTCTGTGAGACTAGAAAAATTATATCTACAAAATATGGATTTTGATTGTTGGATGCATTAGGACATTTGTTATGATTTAGCCCTAGCAATATTTAAATATTCCACTTTCATTTTTTATGTGTGTGTATGTGTGTGTGACAGTATGTGTGTATACGTGTGACAGTGTGTGTTAGTGTTGGAGGCTGAGGAAGAGAAAATACAGAGGAGAGAAGGAAATAAATTGTTATAAGTATAAGGTTAGAAAGGTCATTTCATCATTTAAATTAGTCAATATAAAAGTCAAAGGGTAAAAATGTCAATTTATTATCATTGTGGAGCCTTTGGTAGATGTATCAAACTTAGGAGGTGTCATTATCTCAAAATAGACAAATTTTTCTTTGAATATTCTTTTGACAAATCTTAGAAGATGTTATTATACTTTACCTTTATTTTTATTTACAACACAAAATAAAAAAATAAAAACCATGGCCCAACCCAAGCGAGAATCAATCCCAATGCCTCTCTCTTAAATAACCTCTTAGAATGTTGCTCTGGTTGAGCTACAATAATGAGAAATGGGATCAAGTTTGTAATATAAATATTAAATGCAAGTCTTTTACAAATTGATTGACTGTGAGAGAGAGGGAGATAAAAATAAAAAATAAAAAATAAATAAAAAAAATTTGATTGACTTAACTACTCAAAACCATTTGCGCATTCCAGTATGACATTCCGGTTCATATCTAGTGCAACCTACACTTTGATAAAGTAAGGAATCCCAAATGAATGATTTTGAATATCCATTTATTAGTAAATTTTTTTTCCCAACTTTTGAATTATCAAACCACAAACTTTATGTAAGAGTCGAAGTTTATATTGATCAATCAACAAACTAAAAAAAAACAATTAATTGACTCATGGTTTGTGCTTTTATTTTTTAGTACTTAAAATTTAAATCATACAATCATCCTCAAGTGCTCTTCTACTCTTAGGTTTTAAGGGCGCTTTTGTATTCACACTCAGCTCACACTCTCGCTCTAATTATCATTATTTATAACTTAATTTTGTTACTTTATTGTTCACGCTCTCCAATTCACTCTTATTTCTGTTCTCACTTTATATGACGTAGCCTTGACACTATTTTCCCATGCCAATTCATATCTACTGCATCTCACCGTATTGATCAATCAACAAACTAAAGACGAAACTTTATTTATATACACTTCACTAAACAAATCAATTGAAAGCTCAACATTCATTGTTTTGAGTCTATAGACGAAGAAATATAACATTTAGTCTTATTAATGTTTGAGAAAAAGAACTTCAATTTGAAGACAAACTGAGCCTATTTTTCTCCTCCCATGATCATCAATCTTATGTCATCAATCAAACGGTCCAGATTAGAGTAAGAGGACCCACCTTCTCTCACAGATTCTCTCGCCATTTTCCCCATCTGATCCGCCGATAGAATGGACTCATCCCTTCTCTTCTCCATCAGATCTCTGACCATCTTCTCCACCACAACTCTATCACACGTGTCCTTCATGTCCAAACCAAGCTTCCAGACCTCACTCACAAACCTACTGTTCACCTGCTGGTCACCAAAATATGGCCAACAAATCATGGGCACTCCAACTACCATACTCTCCAAAGTTGAGTTCCATCCACTGTGGGTCAAAAACCCACCCACAGCTTGGTGGGCCAACACCTCCTCCTGTGGAGCCCAGCCCACTATATACCCCCTCTCCTTGGTCCCCTCCCTGACCTCCGCCGGAATCTGACCCTCCCAACCCTTAACAGAGTCCGGTCGTATGACCCACAAGAACCGTTTCCCGCTATTCACCAAACCGTGACAAAACTCCATGACTTGGTCCTTTGTCATCGGTGTAATGCTTCCAAAGCTCACGTAGATCACAGATTTTAACGGCTGAGAATCGAGCCACGTCAGGCAACTCCGATCTTGTTCCCATAAACACGTAGTACTGTTTAAAGAAGATGACTTTGTTTCTTGTATGAGTCTAGTCTTCACGTGCAAGTGAAGTGGTCCGATGGTATAGAGTTTTGGACAACGGGTGCGTATGTGAGCGAGTATGGGTCCTTCTAGGTCCTCAAACGTGTTGAGTATCAGAGCTTGGCCTCGAGTGGTATTCTGGGTTTCATCAATCACCAATCGGAGAACCGGGTCAGCCAAATCACCCACCCGGCAAAAACTCGGGAGATCACGACGTCGGAGATAATCTTCCATTCCCGGTACATTCTCTATAGCTTCATCCATCTCGTTACCTACAGTTAATTTGTTCACGTATGTCTGAATATAATAAGAAGCCATAGAAGATATAGAGAGAGGATTGGACTCATAATGTGCCTAATACAATCATTTTATCAATAATGCAACATGCGACAAAATACATAAACCTATCGGTTATGCAATACATTTATGCTTTAAAATTTAGCATATTTACATAAATTTTACATTATCAATTTAAAGTTATTATTTCACTATATAAAAATTTTGTACTAGCCCCAAGACATATACTGATATACAGGACCAAAAAGGCACAAAAAAAAGTACTATCCTAATTCATAGTGAGAGTTTTTAAAGATGAAACATATGACATGATTGAGTAAAAAGGAGAGTTATCTTCCCGTCATGAAACATATTAAAATTTTGAACTTTTTATTACTATTTATAAAAAATAAATGAGCTATCCTACTCATAAAAATAAGACAAAGATGGATAATACTAATAGAGAGAGAGAGATAGAGAGAGAGAGAGAGAGAGGAGAGATACCTTTGAAGGGAAGCTCTCCAGCTTCAATGAGTCGTGGGATGCAAAAAAAAGCCCAGAAAGCACAGGCACCTATTGTACGGAAATAAATAATTGGAACGCCAACCTCTTCCGCAGCATCCATTGCAAAACCCAGTATTCCGTCGGCTATGACGCAAGTCACCGGCCGGCGTTCACCATGATGACGAGTGGAAAGCATAATTTCCTTGAGAAGTGGTTTGGAAGTGTGTTTTATAGAATCAAACAACTCCGAGAGTTGGTCGCTGGAACGTGGGTGTTCTGACGGAAGGCCGTCGGAAATGGTTTCGAATCGGAATCCGGGATATCGACTGAAAGAGGACAGAACGTTGGCGTAACGTAGGAGGCGATTGTGGGTATGGTGGGTGAGGAGGAGAGTGACGTGGAGGCCGGCGAGACAGAGGAGCTCGGCGAGCTTGAGCATGCAGTTGACATGACCCTGTGCCGGAAAGGGGAAGATGAGTACATGAGGAGGCAGTAGCTCTGGTTCTTGATCATCCATTAATGTTATTGTTTTTTTGGAAAATAAAACTGAAATTTCTAGTGGTATATGGTGATCTCCGTCACTATTGTGTATCGATAATCAATCACTTGTGCTATAGCTTGGAATAAAGACAAGGGACATGCTTATCAAACCATGGACTCATTATGGTGAAAGTGGTTATGGGTAAGATTAAGTGGACAAGAGCAATTTGTATTCCTTTCCTTGATCCCTTTACTTTTTTTGATAGTATGTGTGATTGACGAGGACGAAGAAATACTTTATTCCCTTCTTGTAATAATAATATGGTATAGAAAACCCGTCAAGTATGACCTGATTGCAATAAATCCCTTAAAGTAAGCAAAATTTTCTGAATTGTGACTTTGTTGCACGCACTATCCGTCAGCAGCCGTAAATGGAAAAGAAAACACTTTTTTTTTTTTTAGTTGTTGATAACCTATGTCGGTATGTAAAACTAGTGTGTATCAAAACCGCGCCAAACAATGCCCAGTAACATTAAAATGGCGCCAAACAATGCCCAGCGACATTTTATGGCACCAAATAATGACCCAAACATGTCACAATCAAGAAGGTATAGACAAAACCATAAGCCTTAGGCCTGTTCGGATGCCCATATTTGATATTGTTTTGGTTTTGGTTTTGAGCCAATATCATATTTGGAGCAGGCTGATATGGTATTTAAAAGTGTCAAAACATTATAATTTTTGGGTCAAAACCCATATTAACATTTTGGTGATATTAGACTGGCATGGCACTATAGCGGTGAATTGTTCTCAAACCAAAACCAAACCAACCCTCGTTTTTACTGTAGCGATTATATCACGTATATAAAGGTCGCATATCAGATTTAGGGCATTTTTCAGCGTCGTTTCTCTCTCTTCGCGTAGCTCCTTGGAGGCGACTTCAGTGGCGATCCAACCTCTTCCATCATCGATCTGGCAGAGCTCTTCCATCAGGTACCTCATTTTGTATCTCTGTTTGTATCTATAGATCACATATATCTTCGCTTTTGAGATTTACATTTGGGAGGTCCTCTTGTTCACTTTCTCTCTCTAAAATATTGTGACATCACTTTCTCTCTCGCGTTTCCAAGTTCTGATCTTTATTCCAATCATGTTGTGAGTGTTGTAATTTAGGGCATTTGAGTCCAGATCTCAAGTTTCATGAGGCAGTGACGGAGATCTAGGGTTTGATTTTAGCCCTTTTCTGGGTTGTTTCTTCTATCAACCATGGTTCTGATTTAAGGGTTTATGTGTCATCCATCGATTGTGTGTGTTGCAATTTCATATAATTTAGTTCTTAAATGACAGTTTCATTAATTTTACTCTTTTCTTTAAAGGCCTCTCGGACCTCAGCTTGTGCCTTCTCCAATCTCCATTACTCTTGGGTTCTTTAGTAGTTCTGACATTGCCCATTCTATGGTTGTTGCAGAAGTCTCACTCCCTGCCGTAAAAATGTCCTGAAATTAAAAAATAATTGAGCTACCATAAAATAAAAAAGACCATGAATGTCAGTTAATTTGTTAGTATTACCGAATTTCCATATTATGCCATGTCTATTTAAACTAAATCAGTACTATTTCTAATTAATTTGTAGTCCAAATTAATGGTATTACATGAAATGAATATTGCCAGTTATGCTGGCAGTATAATACTTTCAGATGCTGGTCAATTCATGTTCAACTCATGAGTCCTGACTTCTATTCTCTCTCATCATCCTCGTGTAACATGAACACACGAGAGCAATCTTCATGAGTGCTTTTTCAGTTCAGATGAGTCTCATCCAGTGTGTTATACTGTTATGTACCACTTTCTTTCACCTTGCTCTTAGATATGCTAAACTAGTAGTTAGTGTACAAACTGGAACAAAGAGCTAGCCTTAAATACTAAATTTCGACTACGCTAAACTAGTTGTTAGTGTACAAACTGCAACAAAGAGCTAGCCTCAAATACTAAATTTTGACTACAATTTTTGTTTTATTTCTGCAAAAAATAATTTTAAAATGTTGAAAATTGTTTTATATCTTAATCTTTGCAGTGCTTCATGTATACATGTATTATGTGTGGATATAAATAAATACATGAAACAATATTGTAAAATTGTATGAATATATACATACCAAAATCACAGCTTTGATGTTGTCAGTTGTGAGAGAGAAGTTGAGATCACTGCTCTTCTCAACCTTTAGGAGAACATCAACTAAAGAAATGGAAACTTATCCAATTTGAATCACCTAGCTTATATAGAAATTGACTTTGAAATTGAGGAAGGAGACTGATTTTTAAGAAAATTATGTAGTTGATTTAATTGATTTTGGCAAATAGAATTTGAATTGAAGAAAATGGTGAGAATTTGAACTGAAGAAAATGGAAGGAGACTGATTTTTATCACATTTTTACTTCATTTTTTTCTTCTTTTTTGCCCCTTATTGAAGTGTTTTATAGACAGTACCTTCTTTACTCATCATTGATGTGTTGAATTATGAGTCAAAACACAATTCAATGTACTAAACTGTTCAATTACTTAATAATAATCAGATGGACATGAACAATGACAATGTTGAGCAATACCCATCAAGAGACATTCATTCTCTTGATGGTGAGAATGGTGAGGATGTTGTAGTTATTGAACAGGCCAATGCCGCTGTTTGGTGTGATACCCTTCAAGAGAAATTCATGCTCTTGATGGAGGAAGAGGTTGAAAAAGGAAATCGTACAGGCACGACTTTTAATCCAAATAGGTGGACACATATTGTGGACGCAATGTTATTGGAAACTGGAAAGAAGTACACAAAGGACCAATGTAGACAAAAATTCAATAATATAAGAGCACTGTACAAAGATTGCAAACAAATATTATCTGAGATTGGTGTATGGTACAACAGTGAAACTGGGATGATTAAGTTGGAAGTTGAAAGATGGGTTCGATTGTGCAAGGTTAATATTTCAATACGTGTCTATTTACCATACATACAGTTAGTAATTAGTGATTTAGTATTAAAAGGGTTTGATGAACGATAATTGTAAGCTAATAACGTGTAGGTTCTCAAGCATGACAAAAAAATAAAAAAACAGGGGTGTAAGAATTATGAGCAGATGGTAAGGATTTTTGGGAATACACATACTACTGGCAAGCATGTTCATCCTTCTACAAAGCCACCCAGACCTCACCAAGTGCTAACAATGCCTCAAGTGGCAACACATGAAGCTGAAATTCATAACACTGACGGTAATGCGGGCATGACTGATGTAGAACGACCTAGTGTAGAAGGACCTATTGACCTCAGTCCTACTCCCAAACCTGTAGCTAAGAAACAGAAGAAAGAAACTTTTTCAAGAACAATGTCTTTAGTGATGGAGTGTTTGACTAATATTGGGAACGCGAAAGCTGATAAAATTGCAAAAGCCATAGCAGAATCATCTTCTAGTTGTTAACCATCTTGATTTACCGAAATGCCTGAAGTGACATCTCCCCGTAAAAAAGAAAAAGAAATGGATCCCCAGCTTGAAGAGTGCGTTAAGATCGTCAATATATTAGTAGGGATTGATGATACCCATTATGCTAAGATCATAAGGATGTTTGGTGAGGACAAGGTGTGGAGGGACATATTTCTTCGCATTCCTGATGACAGGAAGGTTGGGTGGGTGATGAATCAGCCTATGTCATTTCTTCGGTATCTTACTTTTATGTGCTTTTGGATGATTGTTTTATAATTACTTTTACATTACTGTTGGATAACTGTAATGAATTTTTCTTATCTACTGCTTTTACATTATTGTTGGAAGACTGTACTTAATTCCTTTTTTTACTGCTTTTAAATTAATGCTGGATAATTATTTATGTTCTATATCTATTGCTTTTATATTATTGCTGGATAATTGTATGATTTGGTATGTCTTTTCCATTTTGCTTAATTTTTATTACAATAGCAGCTTCTGTTTATTCTTAAATAGGATAGTAGCTATGGATATAAGGACAATATTAACCATTTATGATGATGATGATGAGGAGGAAATTCTTGCATTGATCGCAGCCGTATATGAGTACTATCATAAACATTTTGATAAGCAACGTTGTAGGGATTCCATGTTACAAGGGAAAGATTACATATTCAAGCTCTTAAATGGACATGAAGATAGGTGTTATGAAAATTTTCGGATGTACCCCAACACCTTTAGGGCATGGTGTCGTGAGTTAAAATTGTTAGGATTGAAAAATTCAACATTTCTAACGGTAGAAGAACAAGTTGCAATTTTCCTACTTACCGTGTCTCACAATGAAAGGAATCGTATCGTTGCTGAAAGATTCCAACACTCTACATCCACAATTTCATATCACTTTCATACTGTATTAAAGTTAATTTATGAGTTAGGGACTAAGATTATTGTTCTCCCGGATTTGAATGAAATTCCTAAAGAGATAAAGAACAATCCAAAATTTTACCCATACTTTAAGAATTGTGTAGGAGCTTAGCCTGAAAAAAGGTTAGATATATCTTGTTTACTACTTCTAATTATTTCATTCCTACCGTGTGTTATTTTGTTTTTATCTAATGTTGTTCATGTGTTTTGTTTTGCATGAGGTCATTTACACTCTAAATTTGCAGCTTAGCCTGAAAAAAGGTTAAATATATCTTGTTTACTACTTCTAATTATTTCATTCCTACCATATATTATTTTGTTTTTCTCTAATGTTGTTCATGTGTTTTGTTTTGCATGAGGTCATTTACACTCCAAATTTGCAGCTTAGCCTGAAAGAAGGTTAGATATATTTTACTGGAAAAGGAAATTTGTGGACGGTGTCCCTTGTTAATTGAATTTTGTGAGTGGTGTCCCTTGTTGAAATAATTTTGTGGGCGGTGTCCCTTATTAAATGAATTTTGTGGGTGGTGTCCTTTATTAAATGAATTTTGTGGGCGGTGTTCCTTGTTGAAATAATTTTGTGGGTGGTGTCCCTTATTAAATGAATTTTATGGGTGTTGTCCCTTGTTGAATTAATTTTGTGGGCAGTGTCCCTTGTGTTTATTGTGTTTTGAAATTTTGGAAATGTCCATTTTTAAGGCGAAATCATGCCGGATTTTTTTAAAATAAAATAAAAAAAATTGAATTTAACTCTGCTTTATATTTTGTTACTATAGGTAATGTCTTGTTTTACATTCAAATTTATTTTTTGCTACTAAATTGAAGGACATGGCATTAAGTTGTAGGCAATGGCACCAGTTGGATTGATAGGAAGCATTGTCCAGTTGCTGCAACTCCAGGAAGCTAGTG